TCAGTGGGGGGAGTAGGTGTGGGTGGGGGAACCCACCACCTACCCGCTGCCCAAAAGGGCACTGCCCGGCAACGGGCAGCCGGCCGCCCGCCGGCTACCCACTGCCCGGAACAGTGCCCACCGGCGGACAGCTGGCGGGTGACCCCCACCCACCGGCTACCCGCTGGTCCATGCCCCACCTCGAGTCCCCGGCTTCCCCGTTTGATGTTCCCCGTTCCCATGGTGTCCCAACGGACCCCGTTTATCGTGCCTGAGTCTAGTTTGGAATTTCGGGTACCATTCGTAGGTTAAACGAGTCTTAGGAATTGCATGCTAGTTGAATTGGTAACCCGTGGACCTAGGTGGAAGTTATATGAGCCCTTACGAATTATTCGTAGTATGTGAATGATCACATGTAAGTTTAATTATATGTCTCCCCCCTTCCCTATGTGAATTATGTGTCATTATATGCTATTGTGTGTTACGTGATGCATGACCCCAACTTGGTTAAGATCAATTGGGCTATACGGGCAGTTGAATGGGCTGAGAACCATCCCAACTGTTAACCAGGCCGGTTAAGATCAGTCAGAGATATTAATATGATATAGGACCGAGGTCCACTATACGGGCAGTTGAATGGGCTGAGAACCATCCCAACTGTTAACCAGGCTGGTAGAGACCGGTCAGGTATATAAAGATTATGTATAGGACTGAAGGTCCACATGGGCCTCGGTGATATGACCCACCGACCTGGACGCGCCAGGCGGTGTGTAGGGCCAACAAGTCGAGGAAGGCTGTAGTCCACCGACCTGAGTAATCAGGCGGTGTGTAGGGCTACGGCTGGCTGCAATCCACGGAGTGGTGGGACATCGGTATGTAGGACCGTAGTCTCCGAGGATCTTTGCCCACCGACTGAGTTTAGCTCAGCGGTGTGTCGGGCTTGATCCGCTACGGCCCACCGATTGTGCGCATCAACGGTGTGTAGGGTCGTAAGTCCCCCCTTATAAAGGGGATCGCGGTCCACCAACTGGGCGCGTCAGCGGTGTGTCGGATCGTGGTCCGACGCTGAGTTCGTCAGCGGTTCTCAAAGGGTTGGTTGCGATCAACTTCCCTCGTACCGCGGTACTGAGGTAGGGTGCTGCGGGGCCGTGTTAATGGTATAAGCATTAACCCTCATGTTCGGGGCATGCGATTGGTCCCGTGGCGCCATCAATGACTATGTGATATAAATGATGATTGGATGATGATGTGGATTGGAATTGAGAAGTGGCTTGTGACTGTAAATGAGTATTCCTTATGATGTTATTTCTACTTAACTGCTTATTGTTGTCTGATGTGCTTATCCCTATTTGCTGAGTCTATTCCTGGTTTTAAAACTAGTGTCTCTTAAAACGCGTTGGAGTGGGTTACCAGCATCTCTCGCTGAACAGATATATTTGGCTTTCAGGCACAGAGGAGTAGACACTGGAGCGTGCTAGAGATTTGGAGCGTAGAGTAGATAGTTTCCCTTTCGACCTGCGTGCCATGCTTATGTATTTACTTTATTGAGGATATTAGTTAGTTAGCCTGTGCACCTGAGTCCTCTAGCTCAGGTGTGGCATATCACCCCGTACTCTATTATATTATGTTTTGGGATTTAATGAGAACTTACCCTTATTATATAAGTCTTAAAAGTTGAAAAATTTCGGGGTGTTACAAGGAGCTACTCTAGCTGGCACTAAACCGCGCACTCGTCTAAGCATCACCTGAAAGAAGCATATCAAACATGGGACGACGCCCGGTCAGCGAATAATGCTGGTAACCCACCAATACATGTGAAATATCATACATAGGTAAGATATAAGTTTGTAAAGCCATTTTCGAAACGGAATACATATATATAAGTCCAAAACCAAGTGTAATAGTCAACACAAGACTCAAACACTCTCAACAAGAACACGGGAACACATCCCAAGACTTCAAAGAACAACAACGACTCACAAGAAGTTTCAAGGTATAATCTATCATCACACAATAGATTAATATCCGACATGCATAACTCAAAGGAATAAGGACACACCAAACGGCAACACATGCCTTTGTGACTACACACGTCACAAGGAGAGAACTCACAACAACGGCTACACAAGCCCTCGTGACATCACCCATCACGAGTTGATATGTCTTCCTTATGCCCGGTTCCAACCTTATGGCTACCCCCAACCTTATGTCTAGTTCCAACCATTGCCTCCAGGACCCCTGTACTTCTTAGTCCAACCTTTTCCCTCCTGGGACCGTCGTCCCCCACCAACAAACCACCAACAAGACCACCAATTTCATAGTACACAAGGGTACCGTTCACACACACGGCGACACACGCCTCTCCAAAAATACGTGAACCTGACACACAAGTCACAACTCCATAATCACGTCATGGCCACCACGAGGACCACTGCAATACCTTGGTGACTAGTGTCCCATACCACTAATCGTGCAATCCAGGTAAAGCCACACACACATCACACCTCAACAGGAATCAATCAACGGATCTCAACTTAAGATATGAAACCATACTCAATCAAGGAATGGATCACAGTCCAACAACAACGATGATTAACACAAGTCATCATCAACAATAGGAAAGTACAAACAACACACTCGCTAGCATTTAAACACCGAACTAGCATGCTTATCAAACGGGTAAACCAAACGTAGTTCCGAAGAACACACAAGACCTATCACGGTTCAACGAAACACAATGTTGAACACTTAACACGATTCAAGACACCAAAACCTACATGGATTCCTACCATATAGTTCTAGACATACGAAACATCAAGAAGACGCTCAAATAGTTCCACAAAAGAACATCGGGAAGTCCAAAGACCAAATACCGAGTTAAAAGAATCACGGGGAACAAATCTCCAATCAACCACACAGTGTACCCTGCGGGTGGACCCACGGGTAGGCCCCTACCCACGGTTCTGCCCGCGGGTACATACCCACATTCAGCTTGTTCCCCGCGGGTGGGCGGCGGGTCGGCCACTGCCCGCCGTTCCGCCCGCGGGTACATACCTGTACACCAAATAATCCCTTCGGGGATTTTCAACACCAAACTCAAATTCAAGTCCAAAACATGCCAAATCTCACCAAATACAACAAAATGACTTGAATCAAAGGAATAGCCATGCAATGGCATAAAAGAACCCTAAACACAAGCTCTAGATATGCATTTTCACAAGACAATGCATCAACACTCACATTTCATAGCAAAACACATGTAGAATCCTAGAAATCATCATATAGGTAAGTAAAATAGATTTTGTAGAGCATGGGTTACCTCTTGTAGACAAAAACCTTCTCTTAACACTTCACCAAGCTCCTAACAAAGCTCACCTTCCGCACCCACTTCAAGAACACACCAAAAGATCATAAAGATTCTATCTTTAAGAAAAGACACCTAAGAGAACACTAAAAACACAAGATGAACATGGATCTTACCCTCCTAGATGCCCAAATGTATGAAAGGTAGAATCTTGGAGACAACTCTTGAAGTTTTGACAAAGCTTCAACTTGGCTTGGAAGAAAAGCTATCTACCTTTTTAGAGAGAAGGTGGAGCTAGAATTTGGAAAGTGTAAGGAGAGAAATGAGGGTGTTCTACTAGGTTAGCTTACAATACTAACACAAGGTGAAAAGTCAAGAATACCCTTACTAACATGAAGAGGTGTAAGGAAACAAGGGAACTCCCTACAAAGCTCAAGGTACAACTTTGACTTTGGGGTTGACTAGTCAATTACTAGTCCCCGACTATTGAATTTCCAGGATTTTAAGAATTAAATTACCAATTGAAATAGGATTAATTATTTGATTAATCCCTTAATCGAATTTGGATTTCGGGGTGTCACACTAGCGATCTTCCGAATGTATGTTCCTCTTGTCAATTGGGAAAATCTTCTCGTTTTCCTTTATCTCGTGTTGAAACTACTAGTACGCATCCTTTGGAATTAATATATTCAGATATTTGGGGCCCTGCGCCATTACTTTCTTCGACTGGCTTTAAATATTTTGTGTTGTTTGTGGATGATTACACTCGTTATATGTGGTATTATCCAATGCGTGCAAAGTCTGATTTGTATGCTATATTTGATAAGTTTCGGTCACTTGTTGAACGTTCTTTTTCTCGCAAGATTATTTCTTTTCAGTCTGATTTAGGGAGAGAATATAAAAATCTTGGTTCCACTCTTGCTTCGATGGGTATTCATCACGAGCAGAATGGTCGAGTGGAACGCAGGCATCGTCATGTTGTTGAGACAGGGCTGTCTTTAATGGCTCAAGCATCTGCCCCGTCTCGTTTTTGGAACTATGCTTTTGAAACTGCTGTGTATCTAATTAATAAAATGCCTACTCGTGTTCTGTCTGATGAGTCTCCTCATTTTCGTTTGCATCGATCTCCCCCGTCCTACTCTTACTTGCGAGTATTTGGTTGTTTGTGCTTTCCTGTCCTTCATCCATATAATCGCAATAAACTCCAGTTTCGTTCGTCTCCCTATGTTTTTCTAGGTTATTCTCCGTCTTATCGTGGCTACCGTTGTTTGGATACCAACACTAACAAGGTTTTTATCTGTCGCCATGTGCGATTCGATAAGACTGTGTTTCCCTTTGTTTCTCCTGTTGCCTCGCAGGTTGCTAGACCTTGTTCCGAACCTTGGGCTGCTGCACCAGTTGTGACGTGCCGAGGTAGTGGTGTCTCGTCCACGACTATTGATGGCGCTCGGCGGTCGGATGAGCCAGTGTCGGATTCTGGCGATAGTGACGATAATGGTCCCGAGCAGTCCGCATCGAGTGAGCGGACCAGCAGGTTGAGCAGCGCGGCAGGCCGGGCGGACGTCCTCGGCGAGCCACTCCTCCGCCTCAGTCGCATGCTATGAACACTCGTAGCTCGGGTCCGCATCAACATGTCGCCTTAACCACTATTTCTACCATAGCACCTGAGCCTACTTGTTACTTTCAGGCGGTCAAGTTTCCTGAGTGGCGTGATGCGATGGACGCGGAGTTCAATGCCTTGGTCCATAATCATATGTGGCGTCTTGTTCCGTTTCAACCAGGTATGAATGTTGTTGGTTGCAAGTGGGTTTTCAGAACCAAACGGAAGGCCGATGGTTCAATAGAACGTCACAAAGCTAGGTTGGTGGCCAATGGTTTTAATCTGGTTGCTGGAGAGGACTTTTTTGAGAATCTTAGTCCTGTGGTTAAACCCACTATGGTACGCCTTCTCTTATCTTTAGCAGTATCTCGTGGGTGGACTATTCGCCAGTTGGATATTCACAACGCTTTTTTAAATGGCGAGCTAGCTGAGACTGTTTACATGCGACAGCCACCTGGTTATGAGGACAAGTCGTTAACTGATCATGTGTGTTTGCTTAAAAAATCTCTATACGGGCTCAAACAGGCTCCGCATGCTTGGTTCACAAGGTTACATGATTTTCTTATCTCTGTGAGCTTCTCGCCTTCAAAGACGGATGTGTCTCTCTTTATCTATTCTCGTGACAATATTCGTCTTTATTTCTTGGTGTATGTTGATGACATTTTGATTATGGGTTCTAACTCAGATCGTGTTACTGCTCTTATTGATAAATTAGCCCTTGAGTTTAAGGTTCGTGATATGGGTGTGCCTTCTTTCTTTTTGGTTATTGAGATTGTCCCGTTATCTGGCGGTATGCTTTTATCACAAAAACGGTACATGAAGGATATCCTCAAACGTGCTGGCATGGTGGACTGCAAGCCAGTAGTCTCGCCCGTCTCGTCTGCGAAAATCACTGACGAAGTTGTCGTTCCCTATGCCGATCCTACACAGTACAGGAGTCTTGCATGTGCTCTCCAGTATCTTACGGTAACTCGTCCTGATTTATCTTATGTTGTTAATCTCTTGTGTCAACACATGCATACTCCCACTACTACGGACTAGGCCTCTATAAAAAGAGTCCTGCGGTATGTCAAGGTCACCCTGAATCTTAGTCTGCGTATTTCTCGGTCTACATTTATGGATATTCATGCCTATTCTGACTCAAATTGGGCTGGCGATCCGAATGATCGCAAGTCTACTAGTGGCTTTGCTGTGTTCTTGGGCAGTAATCTTATATCTTGGGTTTGTCGGAAGCAACGGACTGTGGCACGTTCCTCAACTGAAGCAGAATAAAAGGGACTACCTGATGTATCTGCAGAGGTTACATGGCTTGTTTCCCTGTTATATGAAATCGACATCCCTCATGCGTCTCCTCCTCGACTATGGTGTGATAATTTTGGAGCTACTTACTTATGTGCCAATCTAGTGTTTCATGCCCGCACAAAGCACATTGAGATTGACTATCATTTTGTTCGCGATAAAGTAGCTAAAAAGGAGTTAGAGGTGCACTTTATTTCAACCAAAGATCAACTAGCGGATATCTTTACAAAGTCTCTTTCGTCTCTGCGTTTTAATTCTCTCTACGACAAGTTCAATGTTTTGGCTACCCAAGCTTATGCTTGAGGGGGGATATTAGGACTATATTATTCATATTAGACTAGGACTATATTATTCATATTAGACTAGGACTATATTATCCATATTAGACTAGGACTATATTATTCGTGTTAGACTAGGATTCTATCTAGTATCTATATATTCGCTCTCTGTACTCTCAGACATCATGATTGAATACAATACTTTTACATACATTCTCATCGTAGGGAGTAAAAGCTACGGGAAGTTGCAACAGAGGATTACTTTATAAAGTCTTAAACTCATTCGATCCTAATAATGTGCATGCCTTCTACGTATAATATTTCTTCCTTCTACAGCCATGATTGCCTATGTACTACACCTACAACATACATAGTGTCCGTGATTTTCATGGTTTTGGTTTTCACATTAAATATCTTTGTGTCTGATTACTTCTTTATTTCTTACAAATATTTTATCTTATATTACTCTGTATTCTTCTTTTATTTATGAAGAATTCTATTTTCTCAGACATTTAGTCCTAAAATAACCTATTTTCTATGTATACTAGTTTTTTACGCGCATTGTGCGATTGAGATAATGCCCAATATTTTTTTAAATAAGTATTTTAAAGTATATCAATGCAAGATTATATTGGAATTGTTCATGCATAGATAATTGAATGTTAAATTTGTGTATTTAAATAGGCAATTCTAAGTTTACAAATGTAAGATAATATAGTCAAGATTGATTATAGTTGTCAATAAAATAATTGTATAGGTATGATTGAAACCAAATACAGGACATAAGGGAGAGAAAATAAATCTCCCAAGTAGTTAATATGATTGACTTAATTATATTTTTTATTTTTTTTATTTTTTTGTAAAACAATTATTATTATTATTATTATTATTATTATTATTATTATTATTATTATTATTATTATTATTATATCATCATACCCTTAGGTCATTTTACATGTTAATCTAAACAACTAATTTTTTCAAATATCTTTTTACGAATCATTGATATAATTCGTTGGTCAAATTCGCTAATATAATCCGCTAACGCTAACCGCTAACTGCTGATTGTCAAACAAAGATATTGCGAAGTTGTTCTCACTTCAATTTGTTGTGTGATTTGAATAGTCTCTTTGTCAACTAATCCTTCAAGTAATTAATATGATTAGCTTTATTAATTATATTTTTTAAATTTTTTCATGGTATTAATAAAATACTTGGTAAATAAATATATAGCATTATTTTGTATTATAACTTTGATATTTAATTAAAAAAAATAGTGCACAAAAAAAGGTAATAGACAATGTGTGAATATAATCAATTGATGAATTTGAATGTAAAGAATTTTTACATTGGAGAAATATAAAGACAATATAACTAATAAAATTATTTCTCTTAATTAATTTATTAATAATGAATTATTTTTTTAATAAAGACATTGTAGGGACAATGTAGCAAATATAATCAATTGATGAATTTGAATATAAAGAATTTTTATATTGGAGAAAAATAAATACAATATAACTAATGAAATTATTTCTCTTATTTAATTTATTGATAATGAATAAATTTTTTTTTTGAATAAAGGCATTGTAGACACATAATTCTAAATTAAAAAATGATATGTATTATTTTTTGTTGTAGCTACTAAATTATTATTTTTAATTAATTTAATAAGAGTAAAATAGAGTACTAATTATGCCAACTTTGATTGGGATGAGATTCGAACCTAAGACCTTTAAATTCTTATTAAAATCAATGAGTAAGTTAACGGTGAACTAACAGAAATTAACGGAAAAGATAATATTTAACGGAAAAGTTAACGGAAAATCACATTCATTAAGGATAAATTAGGAAATCTTAAGGAAAAATTAAAATCTGATCAATCTGAGCCATTCATTTGATTAAAAAATTTGACCGCCATTTTTTCTACCCATTATAGGCCTAACTCTCTTGGGCTCTTATTAGTAATCAATTGATGAATTTGAATGTAAAGAATTTTTACATTGGAGAAATATAAAGACAATATAACTAATAAAATTATTTCTCTTAATTAATTTATTAATAATGAATTATTTTTTAATAAAGACATTGTAGGGACAATGTAGCAAATATAATCAATTGATGAATTTGAATATAAAGAATTTTTATATTGGAGAAAAATAAAGACAATATAACTAATGAAATTATTTCTCTTATTTAATTTATTGATAATGAATAATTTTTTTGAATAAAAACATTGTAGATACATAATTCTGTATTAAAGATCGAAATGCATATGTATTATTTTTTGTTGTAACTACTAAATTATTATTTAATTTAATAAAAGTAAAATAGAGTACTAAATATGCCAACTTTGATTGGGATGGGGTTCGAACTTCGAACTTAAGACCTTTCTTATTGAAATCAATGAATAAATTAACAGTGAACTAACAGAAATTAACGGAAAAGATAATATTTAACGGAAAAGTTAACGGATAATCATATTCATTAAGGATAAATTAGTAAATCTTAAGAAAAAATTAAAATCTGATCAATCTGAGCCATTCATTTGATTAAAAAACTTGACCGCCATTTTTTCTACCCATTATAGGCCTAACTCTCTTGGGCTCTTATTAGTATAGTAGATATATATAGTAGATATTCTTATTCTACTTTCATTTCATGGCCATGACCTATATACATGTACTACACCTACAGACCAGTCTATAATAAAATAAAATTGGCTTGACTTAATCCAAAAAAAATCCATAATTTTTACCACTTTAATTTTCATGTTAAATTCTTATATTATTGTTTATTGATTCTCTGCAATCACCTATCATTCTTTTTTTTTTTTTATGGAGAATGTAATTTTGCATTTCCTCATTTTACGTAAAATATCAGAAATTGTTTGCTGACTTAGAATACTGATTGATTCAGTTAAGCACCTACTTAGTAATGATAGATCATGAAGAGAACATCAGAGAAAAATAAACAAACACACAGAACGAACACTCACAATGTTTACCCAGTTCGATACGGTGTGTATCTACGTCTGGGGGACGATTAATAGGCGTCCAATCCACTAAGTCATAATCCAGTGTACAAAGGTAGATATACAATAATCTTACCCAAGTGCCCCACACAAGGTACATAGCCAGTCTACACAGGTTTAGTGGATTGTTGAAGATGGAGAGCCATGCATACAGAAGTCCAATGAAATCCCTTCACTTGGAGAGCCAACTCTGATGCAGTCCACTTCAGTGACGCTCTATAAGGTTGTTCCCACAACAGTGTGATCTTAGTGTCCTTTCGTTTAAGCAGCAGTAACTCTTCTCAAGTTCATCATCTTAATCACCGTGAACATGTTGTATTGAGAAGGTGCATGACCATCAAAGATCTAGACTCATCAAGCTGATATGGAGTGTTTCTTCTTCTTATTTGGCGTAACCCTAGTTCCCTTAAAGAACTGGTACTTATAGATCCTTCAATAAACACTCTCCATAAAAATGTCTTTAATTGTAGAAGGTAGGACTATATAAGAGGAATGTAATCTCAGCAGATTAGGTCCATTACCTTCTTTGAAGATACGCTGATCGTCTTTCCATACTGGGCTGATAATACCGCGTAAGACTCTTAAGGAAACAGTTTTCCTAAATCAGATCTTCAGTGTCAATTCTTCTGTCGTTGCTTCTGCTTGATCAGTAAACTGTAGACCCAACCGGACAGATTTTAAACCTATCTTAGTATGCCATAATAATATTGTCAATTATAATATGGGATTTTTGAACATAAAAACACTAACAGAGAATTTTATTTTCTCCATCACAAAGCACAAAACAAGTCCTTAGCCTCAGTTTCAAGAACAATGTAAGAAGTGAGTGCGTGGGACCAAGATTCGTAGTCCCATTAATCAAGATTTTGACGAAGTTTTTTGTTTTCTTTAAAGAATTAATAAAATAAAATAAAATAAAATTACAAGGTCATGCATTTGCCAGGTGATGTATTCAGCAATATATCATCATCCGCCGACGCTTGTGTCAATTTTCATTTTTACACTATAGATTAACATGTCCCACACACCCATCTTATTAGAACCAAAAGCATCCCATTTGATGTTTTTGCCTTTTGGTTCTAATATATCAAAAATATAATGAAAACTTATAATTTTGAGTTCCTTTGAATCTAATAAGAAGCTATAATGTAATAATCAAGCGCTTATTATTACGTCAAATGTTATAACTAGCAGTTATTTTATTTTCTGCTTTGATACAAATCATCAAGACGTACAAAATGTTTATCACTATATATATATATATATATATATATATATATATATATATATCAAAAGGTATATTTAATACCAAAAACACAATTTTATTTTCTTCTAGTCAAATAGTAGTCAACGACACATTTTAATAGTATATGCTAGATTTGAGTCTCCAAGCTACAACCCAACATATTATTCCTTTTTTGGAGTATTAAAACATTAGTTAAGTATTGTTAGGCGAAAATCAGTGAAAAGTCAAGTCTAGCAATTGGTGGCTAGGTGAATTGTACGTTGGGCAGAGGCCAGTAAAGGGCCAAGTCCAACACCATGCCTCTCAAAAATGTGGTAGCAATATATAATGAAATAAAATTACACATTTACTGTGAGCTATTTTGACGTAGTGGTAAGCAGTTGATCTTAATAAGTGGTGTATTATATATAATCAA